GCTTTGAGTGGCATGCAGCTTTGGCTTGTTTGTTTCATTCCCACACTATGGGTGTTCTCGCCACCATCATTTTCAAGGAAATCTTGTGTCACAAGGGGAAGGGCCAGAACTAACATGAAGGGGATTGATTCAGTTTAGATGTTGGTATTTATTGAAATCTGGATGCGCTGGATTATGGAGAAAGCCAGAGAGTTCCAGAAAAATATCTACTTCTGCTTCATTGACTATGCCAAAGCCTTTGACTGTGTGGACCACAGCAAACTATGGCAAGTCCTTAAAGAAATGGGAGTGCCTGACCACCTTATCTATCTCCTGAGAAACCTATACGTGGGACAGGAAGCAACAGTTAGAACTGGATATGGAACAACTGATTGGTTCAAACTGGGCAAGGAGTACGACAAGGCTATATATTGACCCCATGCTTATTTAACTTATATGCAGAATACATCATGCGGAAGGCTGGACTGGAGGAATCCCAAGCCGGAATTAAGATTGCCGGAAGAAATATCAACAATCTCAGATATGCAGATGATACCACTCTGATGGCAGAAAGTGAGGAGGAACTAAGGAGCCTTGTAATGAGGGTGAAAGAGGAGAGTGCAAAAAACGGCCTGAAATTCAACATCAAAAAAACTAAGATAATGGCCACTTATCCCATCACCTCCTGGGAAATAAAAGGGGAAGATATGGAGGCAGTGACAGATTTTACTTTCTTGGGCTCCATGATCACGGCAGATGGAGACAGCAGCCACGAAATTAAAAGACGCCTGCTTCTTGAGAGGAAAGCGATGACAAACCTTGACAGCATCTTAAAAAGCAGAGACATCACATTGCCAACAAAAGTCCGAATAGTCAAAGCTATGGTTTTTCCTGTCGTGATGTATGGATATGAGAGCTGGACCATAAAGAAAGCAGACCGCCGAAGAATTGATGCCTTTGAATTGTGGTGCTGGAGGAGGCTCCTGAGAGTCCCCTAGACTGCAAGGAGAACAAACCTATCAATTCTAAAGGAAATCAACCTTGAGTGCTCACTGGAAGGACAGATCCTAAAGCTGAGGCTCCAATACTTTGGCCATCTCATGAGAAGAGAAAACTCCCTGGAAAAGCCCCTGATACTGGGAAAGTGTGACGGCAAGAGGAGAAGGGGACGACTGAGGATGAGATGGCTGGACAGTGTCTGCAAAGCAACCAACATGAAATTGACAGAACTCCGGGAGGCAGTGGAAGATAGGAGGGCCTGGCGTGCTCTGGTCCATGGGGTTACGAAGAGTCGGACATGACTAAATGACTAAACAACAACAACAATTTATTGAAATCTAGTACACACCCTCTATCTGTGTTGCACTATTAAGTAAATAAGGTATTCTTACCCCCTGAAAGCCTAAGTGCCTGATCTAGTGCAGAAGTTTAGCTAGATTTCCATCAGATTTGCATAGGATAATGCAAATGATTGGTATACTTAGGAATTACATGCATGCTGTGGTCAAATCAATTCTGGATGAGAAAAGCGTCACGATTTAGGGTATTTATCCAATATTTCCCTTCTGTACAGTACAAGTACGTAACTAAATAGAAGCAAAACAGTCCTCCTTTTAGGCAGCAGACCTGCTAAATCACACCAGATTCCCTGAGATAAAGGGCTTTCTGTGTCCCTTCCAAAACAGCTGAACTGTTCTTTCTTCAATTAGAATGAACAATGGAAGTTCACTTGATTTCCCCTTGCCCACCTACATTTACCACTATTGTATTCAAAGGTAGACTTTTCCATCCTTTGGGGACATCATCATCAGTGGAGAAAGGATGTTATCTTAGCCAGCTAATTATTCCATCCTAACATAGAGTCACAATGTATACGAATGTGGTGTTATAGAAGGAACTCTTCCCTTGATCTGAAGTCCGGAAAACGTAGCTTGGGGGTTGAGTTCCATTAAACACAATTGACACTTAATTCTGAGTAGACGTGCATCCATTAGGCATCCTTCACTCTCAAGAGACTATGCTAACATGCTCTGAATAGAGGACTTCGAACAGCATCTAGTGTGGCTGAGAAGGACAATTCAGCAGTGACAATCCCTTCCACACTGAAGACACAACCTGTCCCCTGTCCAGCTCACTGATTTTGCTGGTTTCCAGACTACCTCTTTGCCTCAGCCTGCTGGACAAGTGTCTCTTCAAAATGGGAGAGGCCATGATGCACCACCTGCCTCCAGGCTGAATGCTCAGGTGTCAAGGTTTCCCATCTGTTGAGGTTCATTCCTAAGGACTCCAGATCCCGCTTGCCGATAATTCTCCATACAGATCTTTTGGAATCCGACCATTCTCACGACAAGCCCCAGTCAATGTAGACATCGCTGTTTCAGTAATTTATACATGCTAAAAATTCCAGCTCGTTCAAGGCCTACTCTATTTGGAACTTTGTCCTGTCAGGTGACACAAAAATGCATTGGAGACAATGCATATGGAAAGTGTTCAGTTTCCTCTCCTGCTGTGCGCAAAGGGTCCAGGACTCACTGCAGTACAGGAGTGTGCTCAGGACACAGGCTCTATAGACCTGGATCTTGGTATATGCCGTCAGCTTCTTATTAAGACATACTCTCTTTGAGAGTCTAGAGAACATGGTAGCTGCTTTGCCAATGCGTTTATCTAGCGCGACATCTAGGGAGAGTGTCCGAGATCATTGAGCCAAGGTACACATAAGATGACACTATCAGCCTTCCCCACTCAAAACTGGGCTGGGCTGTATGTCTTGCAGAGTGCTTTGAAAGTTGGGCCTGCTGACTGCAACCAGTTCCACAAGTTCACTTTTAAAAGCTCAGATCAGGATAGCTTTCAAGCAGTCTCTTTTATTTGTGTGTCGCTCCCATTCCATTATTCTGTGGTCAGGTCCTGGGGAGGGGGAGACTTTTGCCCCAGTTTCACCTCACAAAAGGGCCTTTGCCCTAGGCAAAGTGCATGATGACTATCATGCATTCTACAAATGTAAGAGTTTTGTTTTATACAGTGTTTTTTCATTAAAATATATTTTGTTATCCTTCCTAAGCAATCAGTGGGGCTTACAATGTGACAGGGACAGGGCCTCATTTCAGCTGCCTCCCCGAAGTTTACTCATCCTTGATTTCAGTTGCAATTCATTTAAAGAAAGTGACACTAATGCGACTTTGAAATTACAGTATTGAATGGGAGTGGTTGTACGTTGGGTGATTTGGGGCTAGTAATTATAGGATTTTTGGAAGGATAAAAACAGAGATTCATCTACTCCACCTTGACCTCCTTGAAAGAAACCTGGGCTATAATAATGCATCAACAAGGAAACTGTCCTCCTGTCCTAACCCCATACCGTGCGTGGTATGCAAGAGCCGTATGTATCCTCTTCACCCAAAGAAGGTGGGAAGCAAACCCTTCACAAAGGTTGCGGATGGAGTAGGACCAAACAGAAGGAGTCCATGTTTTTTAACCAGATGTTTTCTCCTATATCTGCCGGGAGCTAAAACGCTTCTTTCCCCGTTGGAAAGCGGGCAGAACCCAGTGAGTGTCCCCCCTGTGAGAGAAAACACCGCCTCCCCACAAGAGTCGTTTTCTTCCGTCCGGGCCACCCAACGTGACCGGCCACGCGCGAGGAAGAAAGCCGGGCCGCCTCAGCCCTGAAACCCGCCAAGAATCCTGCTTTGGCCGCCCCCCTCCCCGTCATTCTTCCTCCGCCGCTCCTCCCGCGGCGGGGGGACGACGCCTGCGCCTAGCACCGCCTCGGCAGGACGGACGGCGGAGGCGCATCCCGGGCGGGAGCAAGAAGGGAGAGCTCTTATATGAGGCAGGAAGGAGGGAAGGGCATGAGGGGCGAGTGCTAAGCCGCCTCCGCCTCGCCCTGCTGCTTTTTGTGCCCGGCGGCGGCGGAGGAAGGAGACAAAAGAGCGCGGGGCCCGCCACGGTGGTTTCTCCTTCCCCACTGCCGGCCGGCGCGATGGGGGACAGGCTCCGAGGCCAAGCCGGCGTCTCCTCGGCGGCAGCAACGACGACGGCGACGGCCGCTCTCACGGCCACCTGCTCGCTGCACAACGGGCTGCTGCACAACGGCTTCCGCCCGCTGCCCAGCAATGGAGAGG